CAACCAATAACAACCAGCAACGAGAAACCCGTGACAGATTTTAAAATCAAGATAAAATCCAGAAATACCGACAACAATCAGCGGACAGAAGCCAAGGGAATCTTTTCAGATTTGAAAGACTAATTAATGTTCAACCCTTAATTTCTGAATCCGTATATCAGAATATTTAAATTGTATATCAGGTGTATACTACTCTCTCTTTTAATTTCCAGAATGCTTTTATTTGTATTTTTTGGGAGTCTTAATATTTTCGGAATTTTTCTCTCTCTTAAATATTCAGCTCCCTTTTTTTTTTCTCTCTATCTTCTTTTTTCCCCTCCCCCAAAATCTGATCAAGTTCATTTATCCCTCATCCCCAACTCTTTAATCAATTAATAAAACAACCACTTTCTCTTACCAAACCCACTACTACATAAAAATAGAATTATTATTTACTTAAACAACTTTTCTTGAGCCCCCACAATCCCACTATGTCTTGTTCCCCATTTTTGATTAAACAAATACATTATTCCCCACCATTATGTCTTGTCCCCCCATTATTGATTATTTTAATATTAATGGATAGAGCACTCAAAATAAATAATTGTTCAGAATTTTAATTCCAAAAATACCCCTCTGACCTTACTGAAATTACCATTTTGACCCTGAAAACACTGTAATTTACCAATCTACCCCGTCAGCTATAACAAGTTCAGCTAATCAATTCTAACCAAAATATAGCAGTTATAACCAATTCCTAATCAGATTTTATGAACAAACTCAAACTATATTATGAACAACAAAGAAACAACTGGAATTATTTTGGTTGAACAATCTTTAAACAACAAATCTACTTTCAGATTCAACAATAATAACAAATAAGTATATTCAAATCATGAGCTCAAATTCAAATTAAACTTAAACAAAATAAATAAACAGATTCAAATCACTAAACTCAAATAATCAATTGATCTTCAAATTAAATCCAACAAAATACAACAAAGATACATGATTCAAACTAAATCAAAAAATTAAAAACCAAAACATAAACTCACATTAAATCACTGGATTAAAACGAACTTAAAAAAAAAGGAACACGAATTAAATCTAAATTAAACAACAAAGAACGGATTCAAGCGATTTAAACTAACACTCTTCTATATTAAAACTAAATCCTCTTATATTAATAAAACAAACTGAAAAATAATTAATTGAATCTTCAACTTAAATCTAATAACATTATAATTAAACTAATCAATTTCTTCCTAAAAATAAACAAGAAAAATGAATGAAACAAACTGAAGAAAGATAAAAAAAATGATGAACATGAAATTAATATCAAACATATCTGATTTCAAATCCGAAAAATATCAAACAAATTACGGACAGAAACAAAACTTAAACCAACTAACCGGATCGGAACGACGAAGAACTTGAATGAAAACAAATCTGTCCGGAAGTGATTATCGCACCAAAACAATTTGATGCTGAAGACGACCACGAACGGACGATCGAAGAACTGAAAAAGGTCATTGGGTGTTATTTGAAAATGAAGCAGAAGGCAACAACTCTGGTGAAGAACAAAACGCAGCAGCAGCCATGGGTGTCGAGCTCAAGCTCGATGAAGAAGATGAAGCAGGCAGCGTGTTTGGATGGTGAAACAGAAAAGGCAACAGCATCGAGGGCAGCTATGGAATGGCGATGTCGTTCATGGTGGTTCGACGTGAAGGAGGAGAAGCAGCAACGGGCAGCAATGGTGGCGGAGCAGCAACGTCGAGCAGCAGCACCATGGACACGGCCATGGCAACAACAACTTGACGTGAGGGTGGCTGTGTTGTGTGTGTGTTGACGGAAGATGAAGGGGACGACGGGGAAGATGAAGCGACGGGGCAGCCATGGGAGGTCGTTTGGTGGATCTTAGTTTTGGAGAAGATGGAGAGAGGGGGCGGGTAGTTTTCTTTAGGTTTAGGGTTTGGTTTTGTGAAAAATGGGAAGATAGGGGTGTTGTGTTTTTGGGGTTATGGACTGGGTCGACTCGGTTTGAAATGGACTGGGTCGTAGGGGAAGGCTGGGCATTTGGTTTAAAATTTGAAGAAAAGGCCCAATCCGATTTCTTCTATTTTTTGCTCTCTTTTCTCCTTTTATTTTTCTAAACNGTTCAGTTCTCCACCTTAACGACAGAAAATAGGATTGATCAAATTCTATTGAGTTTGACTCATAATGATCGTTCATCAAATAATGACTCTGGTTATCAAATGATTGAACAACCGGGAGCAATTTACTTACGATACTTAGTTGACATTCATAAAAAGCATCTAATGAATTATGAGTTCAATCCATCCTGTTTAGCAGAAAGACGGATATTCCTTGCTCATTATCAGACAATCACTTATTCACAAACTTCGTGTGGGGAAAATAGTTTTCATTTCCCATCTCATGGAAAACCCTTTTCGCTCCGCTTAGCCTTATCCCCCTCTAGGGGTATTTTAGTGATAGGTTCTATAGGAACTGGACGATCCTATTTGGTCAAATACCTAGCGACAAACTCCTATGTTCCTTTCATTACGGTATTTCTGAACAAGTTCCTGGATAACAAGCCTAAAGGTTTTCTTCTTGATGAGATCGATATTGATGATAGTGACGATATTGATGATAGTGACAATCTTAATGCTAGTGACGATATCGATCGTGTCCTTAATACGGAGCTGGAACTGGTAACTAGGATGAATGGGCTAACTATGGATATGATGCCAGAAATAAACCGATTTTATATCACCCTTCAATTCGAATTAGCAAAAGCAATGTCTCCTTGCATAATATGGATTCCAAACATTCATGATCTGGATGTGAATGAGTCGAATGACTTAGCCCTCGGTCTATTAGTGAACCATCTCTCCAGGGATTGTAAAAGATGTTCTACTAGAAATATTCTTGTTATTACTTCAACTCATATTCCCCAAAAAGTGGATCCCGGTCTAATAGCTCCAAATAAATTAAATACGTGCATTAAGATACGAAGGCTTCTTCTTTCACAACAACGAAAGCACTTTTTCACTCTTTCATATACTAGGGGATTTCACTTGGAAAAGAAAATGTTCCATACTAACGGATTCGGGTCCATAACCATGAGTTCCAATGCACGAGATCTTGTAGCACTTACCAATGAGGTCCTATCGATTAGTATTACACAGAAGAAATCAATTATAGATACTAATACAATTAGATCTGCTCTTCATAGACAAACTTGGGATTTGTGATCCCAGGTAAGATCGGTTCAGGATCATGTGATCCTTTTCTATCAGATAGGAAGGGCTGTAGCACAAAATGTACTTCTAAGTAATTGCCCCATAGATCCTATGTCTATCTATATGAAGAAGAAATCATGTAATGAAGGAGATTTTTATTTATACAAATGGTACTTCGAGCTTGGAACGAGCATGAAGAGATTAACGATACTTCTTTATCTTTTGAGTTGTTCTGCCGGATCGGTCGCTCAAGATCTTTGGTCTTTATCCGGACCCGATGAAAAAAATGGGATCACTTCTTATGGACTCGTTGAGAATGATTCTGATCTAGTTCATGGCCTATTAGAAGTAGAAGGCGCTCTGGTGGGATCTTCACGGACAGAAAAAGATTGCAGTCAGTTTGATAATGATCGAGTGACATTGCTTCTTCGGCCCGAACCGAGGAATCCCTTAGATATGATGCAAAACGGCTCTTGTTCTATCCTTGATCAGAGATTTCTCTATGAAAAATATGAATCGGAGTTTGAAGAAGGGGAGGGAGAAGGAGCCCTTGACCCGCAGGAGGATTTATTCAACCACATAGTTTGGGCTCCTAGAATATAGCGCCCTTGGGGCTTTCTATTAGATTGTATCGAAAGGCCCAATGAATTGGGATTTCCCTATTGGTCCAAGTTATTTCGGGGCAAGCGGATCATTTATGATGACGAGGATGAGCTTCAAGAGAATGATTCGGAGTTCTTGCAGAGTGGAACCATGCAGTACCAGACACGAGATAGATCTTCCAAAGAACAAGGCCTTTTTCGAATAAGCCAATTCATTTGGGACCCTGCAGATCCACTCTTTTTCCTATTCAAAGATCAGCCCTCTGGCTCTGTGTTTTCACATCGAGAATTATTTGCAGATGAAGAGATGTCAAAGGGGTTTCTTACGTTATGGCATAGATATTAGTTTTTTCAATATAACACAATATATCTTCCTATTTAAGTAAATGATAATGCAAATTATTATTCATTTTCTTAATTAATTATTTAATTTTCTTTGCTAAGAAAAAATTTAAATACGCTTGCAATCCAAACCCTTCATTTCCACCAATGACGTTCTTGGGTATTGACAACAAGTATTAAATATTGAAAAAGAATTACATGCAATGGACATTTTTCTTAAAATGAAAGAATGATGATAATAATAGTTATAAGTATACATCATAAAATTGAAGATTCTGCATTTGACATGTACATAATAAGAACAACTATGAGAAGACAGCTCTAAGAAAAAGATTTATGTTAGTGATATAACTTTAGTTTTATACACATGCACATTAAATTTTTTAATCTCTCCTATCTCAACCGAACTTGCAAAATTAGTTTTATAATTATAATTATACGACATGACGTTGAAGGTTCTATGTCTGACACGTTCATAAAAAGAACAACCATGAGAAATAAAATCTGATGAAAAGATTTAAAATTGTCACATAAAACTAATTTTATAATTATATACAAAAAGAAATTAACCTCTTCTATCTCAATTAGAAAAAAAAAATTATGATTTCATTATTCTCTTTTTTTTACCGCGGCAAAGCGCGGATATATTCACTAGTGGGAGTATAATTTAGTGCCATATCTTTTATACTAATTTCTTTATGACGTTGACATAAACTAAAGAAATTAAAGAGCGTCGAGACAAATTGTTCAAAATCAGACGGCAACAATGTCAGAAAATACATTAGGAAGAAACAAATGGAGAGCAACAGATGAAACAAAGAAAATAATGTGATTAATGTCCTATAGTTTGTTTTCCTACATAAAGCACAAGGTTATCCCGTGGACTGGCACAAAACAGAAATATATTACTAAGAAAAAACTAGCAGAATGCATAAACTCTTTCTCCCCTCTTGGAACTGTAAACTAGATAACTTTAGGCTCTATGCTCTAACAATGTGAAAAATATTTACACAATCAGGCCGTTATAAGGTAAATTACAAGTAAAGCATTTATTGGTAAGCTAGTAAAAATGGTAAGTAACTACTAACAGTGTAAAACATCTTTAAAACTGTTAGTGGCTTAGTGCCTATAACTAAAATCCATAAAGAAGTGTCTGGCATCCTAATCATGTGACTTTCCACCTAATGAGATGTAGAATTAAGGGGATCAATTCCCTTTGCCTTGTAATAGTCTTTCTCTGCAGCAGCCATACGCTCCTTGAATATTGTCCATTCCCTTTTACACCTTTCTCTTACCTAAGACAAAATGAATGCTGGACTTAGACACCATAATCAAATATCAGCATATTTCTTTGTAACAAGATCGCGCAAACACTTTGTCAGCTAAGGCAACATATAGAAACTTCATGGAGAAGCTATCTCGAGATCATGCATCATCAGGAAGTACAGGTTTAAGTTCAGTAAGAAGTAAGAACAATTAGTATTGTGTGATACAATGAAAATAACAAGCATAATTTCATCCATGAACCCAAAAGATTTGAACTCAGTCTAAAAGTTCATATGTAAATCCAAAATGTGATTATATTATTGTTGTTTATTGCTTATTCGTATTTTCTTTAACCATCTCTCTTGGTCAAATTTCAATTTAGTGGAGAATCAGATATTGCAACATACCCCTTCCCATGGTGCTTTGCCGTTCTCTTCTTGTCCCTGTCGAAAAAAGATAATCGTTACAGCCAACTTTTAACTTAATCCTACATAAACCAAGGCTGATATGGGAATATATATACCTGGTTCCCTAATCCTACATAAACCAAGGCTGATATGGGAATATATATACCTGGTTCCCGAGTGAAGGAACAGTTTGATGCACAATCCACTGAGAGTCTACAACTCCTATCTTTTCATGTGCTGGCTGCTCATCCAAAAGCATTATTAAGATAAAGCCAGCTGAATAAGCATATAGGAGAATTTTACCGCACTAAATAAGGTGGACTACTTACTTCCACACATTTCCTGAGAGCTAAATCAAGACCCCATCCATGGACCAAGTCATTCTGCAATAACAATTAAATTCATATTTGCATTTACGAAATGATCCATATACTCCTTCCCAGCCTCCTTGTGCCCAATTGTCTTTTTCATTTACCCTAGATTTTTTACTTTTGCGGGATTGTTTTTCAGATTGTGCGAGGGGCCAGGGATGGAGGGAAAGCTGCTCTAATAAATGGCAAAAAGCACGAAAAACATTATATTACCTGTATCATATACCACACACACCGCCATGCCTCTCGAGAGAAAACAGGTGCCATGATCTCAACGAATCTGATTGCAGATAAAATAAAAAGTAAAACTACGGACACCAGCCATCAAGTGAGAAAGGTATTTCGTAGAAAATATCATGCTTTAACATACGCTGCACATGGTGGCAAATGTGGATCAGTGCACCAGCCAGGTCTTTCCTCCGTCTCCCTGCAAGCACAAACAATAGACTGTATATGAGATCAAGCCATGTGTGCAAGGAATGCTTGAATCTGTGCAGTTATACATATTAATGCAAGCATCCCTACTTGTGGACTTCAGTGTCATTACGTCTTTTTGCCATCCGCCATGCCAACTCAATGTTTGATGCTACACCAGGCTGTGAAATATCCAAACCATGTTTCTGCACCAACTTTATATATCTGCACTTGCATTAAAACATTAGAGTCCATGAAATTCAACATTTTTTATTCACAAGAATGTGAGAAAAATCATTCTTACTCCTCCGCATCAAAATTCTCAAGCCCCAAGTCTTCGTCCCAGATGAATATATAGTCATAGGGTGCTACAATGTCTGGATGCAGAAAGCGTTTTGCGTACCACCTTTCAATCCAACAAAGAAACTTCTCTCTTACAAAGTCCATCAGAATGTATTGAAACATTGAGGATCAGAGGAATTCACAAAAGAGTTACCATTTAGTTTGTTTTCGCGTACTAACATGGATAGCCCGCTTGGACCACTCAAGATCATCCCATTCACTTGTTCGACCATCATAGTGAAACAACATAAAGGTAAAATTCTCTGAAAACTGTTAAAAATGGAACTGTAAGCATGCACAGCCACAAAAAATGAAGGTCCTTTGGTCTGTGGACAAGATGATGGGAAATTATAATCCCACTCAGTAATATGCTGGGAATATTGCCGGAAGTCTGTCTTAGTTAGTGGCACATACGGGATGTAATCTAGAGAAGCAACAACATCATTTGTAGTTACGACTATAAGGGATAAAAACAACAATAGTATGACATCTTTTTGGTGAAGATAAAGAAACACCAAACAAGGTTTTGTTAGTGGCTTGCACTTACAATCACGCAAACAAATCCTTGTATCAATCCAAATAGTTAATGCTTAGTTTAGCATTAAAAACAAATGTTTATTGCTTTTACTCATTTTACTGAATAAAATATTGAGTAGAAAATAACCAAACAATTAACCAAAAAACAAATATTAAAAAAAGGGATAATCTTCACATTTCAGTTTTTCAAAAGATCAATATTTCTGGCAATTTTTTGCTTGTCGCGACTTGTTATTTTTTGGTTCCAAATGAGAAATATGAGTATTCGAATCACTTTTGGATCTCAAACGTGACTTTCTAAAGAATTTGGCAACCTAAACATGATTGCATTTGCAGGCAAAGGCTTTACGTTAAAATAAGTTGCAAACAAACCTCAGGTTAGGCCTTATGTAGTCCCTTATTCAAAAATAAATGATCCCCCCAAAGGACAAGTCGAGGGCTCAAAGGAGTGAGTAGAAGGGAAGAGAGCTAAAGAAGGGTGGAGCCTAACCTTTTTGACTGCCGCATCAATGTTATTTTTCTGCTTGTAGCCAACTGCAAAGGAGACAAGATACCTAGGTTTGATAATCAAATCCTGCAGATCAATTGATGAAACAGATTACAATACTGAGGGCTTTAACTAATAATGGCATTCTAGAATCATGTTTCAGCTGGCTATTCAATGATTCTCATCTGTCATCATAGTGGATCATATAAATTTCAATGTCGAAATCTATATTAACAGCTATGGCATAATGTTTCTTCAAGCCCTACAGAACCAGGAGGAGGCAAGAATTTCATTAGCACACTTCAGCAAGTTCATTATTTCCAATCGGGGTTTCTAGATTTCCCGTCCACCTAAAAATCTTGAAGCAAACTGCTTTTTCTTATGATAGATTTCATCTGGTTATAAAAGGTTGTTACTAGGGCAATAAAGTTAAAAGGGTGTATCACAAGCAATTGTTAGTTTAACAAGAACCCCTTCCGTCTAATTTCTTTGACTAATATAAACTATTAGAGACTCAACCAGTATCCCTGAAATCAACTTCAAGATATGCTAGTTCTGTGTGATTAATAACTGAAAGAAGCCTTTTTAGTAATGTGTTACACTTCGGTCATTTTCTTTGCATTCTAAACCTCACACTATGTCTTTGATTTGCATAATTGAATGGGTAGCAGTTTCCATCTGCCGAAGAAAATGAAGAGTCAATTGACTACTTTAGATAGGCATCAAGGCTGAAAAATACAGACCTCGCGGGGTAGGCCCCACAACCTTCGAGGATAAAGATCAGACTCAGATGCAATGATACCCGGTGATAGTCTCTCAGCACCTCGAGGGTTTGATGGAACCCAAATCTGCAAGATTTCCACAAATAGCATAAGTCTGAAAGGCGGTATAAATTTCCAAGAGACAAAGTGCAATCTTATCTCTATATAACAAAAATTGACTATCAATATCTGAATGTAATAATGAAACGAGAATAAGAAACTTTGTTGCACCAAAGTGTCAAGAGTGGCTGCTTGTAGCCTATGTAAGCAACAAATGTTACACCTTTGTGTCATTATGCTTGTGTGAATTGCCTCTGTGGCTCCTCAGGGAAGACAAGACATTTAATAGATCTTGAGTTGAGAGGCCTGAATACTTGTCCTCAATGAAAGAGAGATCAATTAATCCGAAAAGACTAGAAGGTAGGTTCAGCTGCAAAATTGAAATAAACAAGCAGATTACTTATCAGCTCTTATTTGAGGGACACTTAAGAGAAAAATGGGGCGAACTTAGTAAACAAGCATTGGTACTATCTTATTTTAATATATGCATATGCTGATATCCACATGCGCACGCATACATACATACATATCGAAACAATCCATTGATTCTAAATCCTGAATACGCCTCCATCATAAACATGTATATATATCATATCAAATCCGAAAAAGTCAAATTAGCTCCCATGCCTTGGTAAATGAAAGTGTAGGAAACGATACACCTAAGAAAATGCCAAGCACAACTCCAGCAAAGGTTGTTACAAGAAGCCTCATCATTTCATTTCGCCGTTTGGTGTTTGAACTGTCACAGAAAGTGTAAGTTAAAAGAGTTATACCACCCTTAAAGCTAAATATTCTCTCAAGAAAAAGGCAATAAAGGCAAGCTGGCTAGAGGTAGCAAGTACCCCCTGGAATTAGTCGAGGTGCAAGCAAGCTGGCTCGAATAACAAGGTTATAAAAAAGGCAATAAAGGACCCATAAATAAATCACTTAAAAATATTTATAAAAAAAACCTGCGTGTAGGTGTCCCCATTCTGTTCATGATCCTCGAGTAGCAATTTCAAAATCACAAAAGGAGAAGCTACACAGAATTGAGCCAAGGAGACTTCCAGTGACCCACAACAAAAACACCAAAACTCTATCGCAGTATGGTCAACCTAAAAGCCAGAACGTAAACATCATAAGTTTAAGTTCTATGCCCTGATGGTATAATTTACACGATTAGATCACTTATTAGGTAACTACAGGTAAATCTCTTCTCGATTTTTTTTTTATATGTATATATATAGGGGGTAGGGAAAGGGGGAATAGGGGAGGAATTACAAGGTGGAGAATCAAACCTTCACCAACAAGGTAAAGGTAGCAACCAACTGAGTTACCAAGATTCCCCTACTGGTAAATCTCTTGATAAGTATTAATCAACTATTTGATAAATATGGCAATTGATCTGGTATCACATGTTAAAATTCGTTGATAGTGTAAAAGAATTACACTGTCAATGTATTTAACTTAAAATCCAAAATCATTCCTTTGCGGTTACTAACACTTGAGCAAATAAGTATTAACAGAATCAATCTTAGTCCACCACCACCAGGGGCGGATCCAAAGCATTATGTACAGGTTCAACGGAACTCAATAACTTTTGCTCATACCATGTATATATATATATTAAGAAATTCATTAAATTTCTAAATATTAGGTTGTGAACCCAGTTGTAATTGTATATTAACTAGAGATCATTGTAGGAACTCATACACTTTAAATCATGATCCGCCGCTGCCCACCACCCAACCACAGCCCCCTTTTGCCCCTTCATTCTATTCCAAATGCAACAGATCAAATTAGATCACTTGAACAATAAAAATCAGTTCAAACTTAAAATTACTACATAAATCTGTTCCGAAAAAGGGGATAATTGCCTTAAAATATGGAGAAATTACTAAAAGCTCTGTAAATATACCTGAAGTTGCTAATTCGTGAGGATTAATGACTAATCAATCAACTGCGGCTCAGTGACAATTAAGTTACGTAAATTGAGATGTTTATCGCTAAAAATTCAACGTTGGACTTGTCAAATAGAACGCTAAAGGACTTTTACCTTGATTGTTCTTAGTAGTTAGGGGAAAAAATTAGGGTTAAGTCAACGTTTGTAAGTGCCATGTTCCAGCACGTCGTTATTAGCGGGAAATTTGAAATGAATCCCGTAATTAATTGGGATTCATAACAGACGGAGCTCAGATTAGTAAAAACGCCTAAATAAAGCAGGTCATTAATATGATTAAGGGTGTGTTTGGTATGCTGTACAAAATAGTTTGGAAAATATTTTCCTAGATATCACATTTTTCTGAAATCAGAGTAAAATGACTTCTTTAGAAAAATTTAGTAAAATATTTTCCAAAAACTCCACTTACCCTCGTATCTAACCCCAACCCCCTCCAACTTCAATTTTCTGTTTTTTCGTTTTTCTGCCCCCTACCGCAAGGCAAAAATAATAATTTTTTATATTTTCAGTTTACAGGTTCGAAATTTTATGAGTTCGGAGTTTATGTATTTGGAAGTTTGCGGGTTTAGAAATTATAGAGTTTACGAGTTCGAAAGTTTAGCCGTTCAGAAGCTTATGAAATTTGTGGGTTCGAAAGGTTGTTGGTTCAAAAGTTTATGGCTTCATGTTTATTGAATCTAAATTATTTATGAATACTATTGAGAAGTTATTTTCCTTAATTTGCATACCAAACACCGGAAGTGAGTAAGATTACTACACGTTTTTCAAGAAAGTATTTTGTTGGAAAACATTTTCTTGAAAAACATTTTCTTCCTACCAAACACACTCTAACTTGCATATTTTTGGACAAGTATTATTTCAGTTAATTAGCCATTTCTTGTTTTTTCCCCTGTATTTTTGCTAAATACATAAACGACCCCTAAACTTGTTCATTTTGACACATTAACGAACCTTTTTTATTGGGAAAATTTCACATTAGAACAACTAGGCTCCATACTTTTCAATTTTATCACTCATATTTCAATTTACAACCAACTAACCCAAAAATAATAGGCTAAGATTCAATATCCAACTTCAATAGGTTCTCAAAATTACTATTTAACTTTTAAAAAAGATTCCTCAAGCTTTTAAATTAATTTTCGAATCAGTAACTGTAACTCAAATATTAATTCAACGAAACAAATTCATTAGGGTGGTGAAAATTAAATTTTTAACAAACTTAAATATGTGGGTTTAAATTCCGAATTTGATTTTGTGAGAAATTTGGAGTGAGTGTTATTTAGACTTGTTAGAAATAGTATAAGGAGATTGTATATAACATTTGAAGTCATTTAATGGAGATTTGGACAGGTTTTGAACAAAAATTGCAACTGAAAATCGTGGAAGAAGTTCATCTACAAACGCTATAATAGTGTATAAAGTGTGTTTCTACACTCATATACACTATTATACAAGATTATACGTAATTATACAAAAAATTGACTTCGTCTTCTTCCTTGCGTCTTTTCTGAAATTTAATTCAAATCTACTCCAAATTTAAATTTTGAACTCCTTTTGATATTTTCAATCAATTGGTACAACACTCAATCCAAACAACTAACAAATTCAAAAAAAAAAAAATCATTTTCAAAAGCAAAGCTTTGAATGGACTTCAATGGTAGACTTCTACTCTTCAATTTTCCTACATTGCAAGCAGGTGATACAAGAGGAGAAACAGAAAATACACGGCCCCTTGAAGCATATGTAGAAGATGTGAGAAGAAGAGAGAGTGAAAACAATGGTTGTGAGAACAAAGAATTAACTCCATAGCTTTTAGAAGCAATGGTTGTAAGAACACAGATTCTGAATTTGCAACTTTGTCTCACAGTAAAAAAAAAATAAAAAAAAACGAACTCTCAAAAGCAAATACAATCAAACCTTTTTCTAATGGGAATCATTTGTCCGGATACTTTTTGGTTGCTATAACAAAATGTCGTGATAGAAAACATATAATATAACATAACATATAACATGAAATTTTGATTCCAAACTTTTTTAATCGTTATGGTGAAATATTGTTATAAAAAGCTCTAACTGTACTTAAGCCTCTTATATGCAACAAAACTTGTCTTTCACGACAGAGTTGTGAAGCAATAAAACATCCATCTCTAATTAGAACCGTTAAAGGACATGGATCTGGGAAGAGCTAAAGTAAAAGAAAAGATATTTAGAAATCTTTTTTTGTTGTTGATAGTTATGGTGTCCGAACCAGCTTGCGCGCACCTTGACTAATTCCACGGGATACCTATCACCTCCCACCAGTAACTGGTACCGGATAACTCTATTCACCAAAACTTGGACATATGGGAAAAATAACCTAGTGTTTTTTGTCTCTACTGGAGTTTGAACCTGAGACCTCATAGTTCTCCACGCACTCCATTGAACACTAGGCTACACCTTTGAATGTTGACATTACAGAACAACTAAGTGGGCGTTTGGACATAAGAACTGTAAAATTCCAAAAAAAAAGTGAAAACAAATTTCAAGGGAAAATGACATTTGAAAATTAGAGTTGTGTTTGGACATGAATATATTTTTAGGTTATTTTTGAAGTTTTCTGAGTGAATTTTGAAAAACATCTTTTTGGAGTTTTTCAAATTTTCGAAAAATTCTAAAATTCATCTTTGGAAATTTTATGGCCAAACATTAATTTTGAAAAAAGTAAAAAAAATTCGAAAAAAAGTGAAAAAATTCTTATGTCCAAACGGGCTCTAAGTCATCTCAAACTAATGAGATACAGCATCTTCAGTATTACATTTTTATTAACTCTCTACTACATCCGTCTATATTCTTGAGATCTTCATCAGGAGTATTTCCCACATCTTTCTTCTTAATTGATGATTCTACTTGAGAATTATGAGCTACATCGGTATATTTTATATTGTTGATGTCAATCCCCTGTGCCATATAGTTATGGCAAGCACAGATGCTGCCCTAAATATATGAATATTATTCAGTCACAATAAAATCCATGTACATATGCTTTTTTTAAACAAACATGAGCATCAGAAACTATCTTCTTTTTAATCTTTGGAAATTGCAAGAATTATTTTCTATCAGAAACAAAATTCTTTAAACTTAAAAAACTGCAATTAGTATTAGGGTTGTTCATTTGGATCGAATATCCGAAATCCAAACCGATCCGCTCAATTTCGGATTTCGAATTTTGGATATTTGGATCGGATTTCGAATTATGTTTATTAAAATTTCGGATATTCGGATCGAATTCGGATTGGTATAATTTTAACCCGATCCGATTTGAAATCCGAAATTATTAAGGCATGTATAAATACTAAACTTTAATTTCGGATAGTTAGTACTTCATTTACATCTTCCTCCAAGTTATTACCTTTACAATTGCTGGATTTAGTTATATTGGCACCATAGTACCCTCTAATTGCAGAAACATAAATTTTTCTTGTTGTATTGCCTTTTTTACAAAGAAAATATACGTATAAGTTTACAACTGAGGCATAACAACTCGAACCTTCAGAGAAATATTTTCTTAGAGATGCAATGCTGATAAAAGAGATGAAAAGCAAAGAGATATTTGTATTAGCACAGAACACAGAAGAAGCAAATAAGGCAGATGCATTAGCCGATTAGATTAGCAATAGCCTTAATAATATGTATAATCTGATCCGAAATCCGAAATATTGATCCGATCCAAACTTTAAAATCCGATTCGATATTAATTCGGATCGGATTCCGATTGCATTTTGTAGAATCCAAAATCCAAAATGTGCTAAATCCGATCCGATCCGGGCACAACCCTAATTAGTATGACCAGAAGTATACTTATTTTTACCAACTTGAAACCTTAGAACAACTTTTGAATTCACCTTCCACAGAAGTATTTTGCTCCTAATCTTCTCCTGTGCTAATTAATTTGACTTCAAATCCAGTAATGTATGTTAATATCCTTGGAATATATTGGATTTCAGCCTCTAAAAGTTGATTGCTACTCCTAATATTTATGAATCGTATAGCTAAAGAAGTCTGGAAAATTAGTAAATTTTTCTTCTAGAATGCATAATACAAGGTACTGGGTTCTAATATGTAACTGCAGTTTTATCATAGCACCAAACATAATATTTTTGACAAAGTCCCAGTGTTTTGGACAGCGTGCGGCGACAAATAGCGACGAGGGCCCGCTTCACTGAGGCGAGAGGCACGCAGCGAAGCGCTCGCCTTTTTGATGTGAAGCGACAATTTATACAAAAAAATAAAATATTATATATATAACTAAAAACTCAATAACAATGATATATTAATAAATATATCAATTCACAATATGCAATTAATTCTACTCTATAACTGAAAAAGGAGGAAATTTCAGGTTTGAAGAAGTTCTCTGCCTCTGCCTCTACAAAAACAGGGTGCAGTACTGCTGCTCAATAAAAAACAGAGCAACAAAAAAAGAAGAAGAAAGAAGAAGAACGAAAAAAAAAACAGAGAATAAAAAGACTCTCTGTCCTTTTTTTGCTGCACTATTGCTCGACAACAAACAGAGCAAAAAATTAGAAAGATGAAGAGAAGATCAGAAGAAAAGAAAAACGAAAAAGAAAAAAAAAACAGAGCAACAGACAGACTCTCCGTTCTGCACTGTTGCTCGGCAAAAAACAGAGCAAAAAAATAGAAAGAAAAAGAGAAGAAGAAGGAAAAAGAAGAAAGAAAGAGAGGAGAAAGAAGAAGAGAAGCTTACCTGGGCTGGGTGGACTTGGGTGCTCTGTTGTTTGAAGGTTGAAGAAGAAAGAAACGTGAAATCACTGCAAGCCCTAATGTTTTAAGCCTTAATCTGCGCCTTTTTCATTCTTTTTTTCAAAAAGCGAAGCCACAGCTCGCCTCTCGCTACACAGCGCCTCTCGCTACACAAGCAGAGGCGCTCGCCTTTTACAATCGCAACGCGACAGAGGCAAAATAGCGCAGGCTGCTCGCATCGCGTCGCCTCACACTATTAGCGCTGAGGCGAGCGCTATTTATAACATTGACAAACATCATTAGATTTAAAGCTACTGAAACAGATGAATCCGAACCCAACTAAAAATCACTGCTCAAAGCAAATTCAACCATTCAAAGGTTGCATAACCAAACCCCAAGTGATTGCGGGGATGAGCAAAGTTTCTGGAGTTCAAAGGTTGCACAACTATTCACAACAACGATCTTGATTCTTCAGACTCTAATATATTGACAATTCAGTGAATAATTTAATGTAGACTTATTTACCTGAATTCAGACTGAAATAGACTGGAAAATAGATTCTACTTCCTCTGACACAACCGGCATTTTTAGCTGAAAGTAAAAACTTAGAGGAAGAACAAAAGGGACTAAAAACCTGGAATTGCCAAGTTGCTCAGAACATGCATAACACATTCAATTGAATACCTCACTTCTAAACAAATAAGCATGGTACTTGGACCATGCATTACATATTCAATGAAATACTCAGAACAAATAAAAATCATAAATGACATTCAAAAGCATACAATTTGGATGCCCTGTAGAAATTCTGCGTTATAAATTTATATGATTAGCGGAGAGCCTGCATATGCTGAACGACTCAACACATCGACAGAAATCCATGTCATAGAACTCTTACAGTTTTTCCAGAAAATA